TTTTTATTTTATTTATTTATTTATTTTGGTACTGGGGATCGAACTGGGGTCCTTGTGCTTGTGCAGCAGGCGGCGAAACCACTGAGCTAAATCCCTGGCTGAAGTTCTATATAATTACTAAATATAAGGTAAGATCCTATACTGTACTACTTCAAGTTAATTATAAATATCTAATTATGGATTTGTTCTTGTCTTTCCAAACTTCTCGATTTTCCTTTCTAATTTCAGGAAAATCTTTCCTTTCACCCTAAATTCTTCTATCCAGTTAAATGTTCCAATGAATGAATACTTTTTCTGTCTGTTTTTAAGCAGATTTTATGTTCAAAGCCTTCTTACACAAAGTGATAAGAGCTGCGAGGCCCACCCTGGCTTGTTTTGCTCTAAGAAGAGAAGAGAAGGAATGTGGGGACCCTTCTCTTTTAATAGCCCAATGAGTATGATCCAATTATCCCAGAGATGTAAGTTATTTATATTTTATCCATCCCTCAAATTACGCAAATTCTAAAGCTATTTAATTGCAAGAGTGCATTAATTCTCCATAGAGAAATGTGGTTTTCTTTGTTCAAAATTCTACTCATTGTCTGTTATCCCTTTTTGTAAAGAGCTTCTTGTTTGACCCATTAATGTTTGGGCCAACAAAAAGAGGGGAAAAAATCTCTGGCAGACACGGTTGGCTTGCCTCCCCCACAGCTTTCCCCCACCTTTTTTGCTTAATGGCTCATAAAACTGTCTACAGGCCAAAACTTAAAACAGAGGCATGATGGAACCTAGGGAACTTGTACTTCACTTCCCATCTCTCCTAGTTAAATGAATAATTGATATCACTTGCAGATGACAGTTGCAAAACATGTCCACGAATTCTCATCATGAGACAGCATCAAGGGGCAAGATGCAAAAGAGGCTGAGAAAGTGAATCTGGTTTTTCCAACATCTATAAGAAATCTACAAAGGATAAAAGGTTGAGAATGCCTGCTAGGTAGTCAACCGGAACAGTCTGATGAAAATCTCTTTACAATAAATGCAAAATCAGATGAGCATCTTCTGATAGAGAGATAAGGAAAAACACAGATTTTACTAATTGCCTACCAGTTGATCATTTTGAGGGTTAATAATTACCAACACATAAAAATAATTTGTCATCATTGAAATAAAATTATTTCACTACAAAGAGTAAAATCAACCTTTACTTTTTTACTACATATAATTCTTGATTTTTTTAATGTGATGCTTCAACATCAATGCCTCTTCCTATCTACTATCCTTTCTGTATTTTCATCTTCGTTTTCATTTGGGGTACAACATACATACAGTATAGAATGCGCTCTAAGTTTAAGTGTGCAGCTCCACACATTTTGACACATGCATC